TCTGATAGCTTGCTAGGATTAGCAGCGTCTGGTCGTCTTTCCTTACTATATAGGACCGAGGTACAACATAGTGAAAAAAGAAAATGTACAATGAAATTTTCACTTCCTCCTAAAAGTCATCGTTCTTTTCCAGCCGTCCTAGAAAAGAAAAAAGAAAATGTAAGTGCATGTCGAAATACACTCGTATGTGCGTAAAAACACAATGTCGGCCAAAAAATTGGAATATAAACTAATTTACACGTAATATCGTTAAAAAAATTTATAATGTTTTTTTGTTTTTTTTTGAAAATATATGTCGTAAAAAGAAAGATCGAGATAATATTAAATGTCTAGTAGTGCCTTACGTGCAATAGTCGTTTAAATGCTCTGGAAATCTAACTCTTCTTCCAGAACGCGTCGTTTTAAGTTTGTTTTCAGATACATTCGGAGTATCATCGCTAGTGTTGGTTGTCGGTTGAGGAATTATTAGTGGAGTCGTGTCGTTCGATTGTACCGAAGGAAAATCGACGTAGATAGGATTTCCTTCTAAATACGCTGCTTTTAAGCGATCGATGCTGATGCTATCGTTGGTTCCGTTCTTATCGACTATATAGTACTTAGATTCACGTTGAAGAACTTTGAAAGGTCCTTCGTATGCTGATTCGAATGGTCGTCGATGCGAGTCTCGACGAACGAAAACGTGTGTACTATATCGTAAGTCAGGTTGAACGAAAACATCAGTTGATTGAGGTCGAGTGGAAGCAGGTTTAACTGAACGCATTGCGTTTGTAAGCCTGTTCGTGTAGGAGGTTAGATCCATGTTCATCGAAGAGCACGAAGGATCCACGAATTCTCCTGGAAGTCGAAGTGTCGTTCCATAAACGAGTTGAGCCGCAGTGTATCCAATGTCAGCTTTCACTGCATTGCGGATACCTAGTAAGACGAGTGGAAGAGCGTCGGTCCACTGTGAAACGTTTGCAGCTGATAGTGAAGCTTTCAGTTGTCGGTGAAAACGTTCTACCAACCCGTTTGCTTGTGGATGGTAGGCGGTCGTTCGGAAGCGAGTGATTCCTAAAAGTGTGGTCAGACGACGGAAAAGATCAGATTCAAACTGACGTCCGCGGTCTGTAGTGATGGTTGAAGGGCAACCGAAGTTTGCTACCCATCGTTCGACGAATGTGCGGGCCACTGTTTCAGCAGTGATGTCCTTGATAGGTACTGCTTCTGGCCATCGAGTGAAACGGTCTACGCAGGTTAAGAGATAAGAGTATCCATTTGAATCTGGTAAAGGTCCTACCAAATCCAGATGAACATGGTCGAAACGAGCATCGGGAGTTTTAAACGAGCCTAAGGGACATTTATTGTGTCTGATAACCTTAGATTTTTGGCAGCTTACACAGGAGCGTGCCCACTCCCTCACGTCTTTATTCATGCCAGGCCAGCAAAATCGTTCTGCTATAAGCTTGATGGTTGCACGAACACCTGGATGAGAAAGTTTGTGCAATGTATTGAAGACATTGCGTCGATAATGTTTCGGCACGATTGGGCGATCCCTACCTGTAGATGTGTCACAAAGTAAGGTTTCCTTACCTGTTCCCATCTGTTTGATGCGTAGTTTAAGTGTTGTGGACGATAACTCGTGCTGAAGATCACTGTCTTCTTTTTGAAGCTCGGCGAGTTTAAGAAGGTCGATTCCTTGGAAACTGTTCAAGGAAGTTATGCGAGATAAGGCGTCTGCAACTACATTGTTTGCTCCAGAAATGTGTTGAATATCTGAAGTAAACTGCGAAATGTAGTCCAGTTGTCGAGACTCACGGGGAGAGTACTTGTCAGAAGGAGAGCTTAACGAGAAAGTGAGCGGTTTATGGTCCGTGAAAAGAGTGAATTCACGGCCTTCGATATAGTGTTGGAAATGCCGTACAGCACAATACATAGCTAGGAGTTCCCTACCGAATGTGCTGTACCTCGATTCGGTGTCTAGCAACCTTCTAGAGAAAAATGCCAAGGGTTGCCAGGAGTTGTTAACCCATTGTTGTAAGACTCCTCCGATTGCCGAGTCGGATGCGTCTACTGCGATGCTAATGGGTGCTCGGGTGTCCTGATGTGCGAGCATTGTTGCTTTAGCGATCAGTTCCTTAACTGTGGAGAATGCTTTTCGTGCGGTGTCGTCCAAATTAATGGATTTCGCATTTCCACGAAGTTGGTCGGTCAGAGGTTTCATAAGTAATGCGCAATTCGGTATGAAACGTCTATAGAAACTTACCAGGCCGTTGAACGTGCGTAATTGCTTGACGGTGGTCGGTTCTGGGTAATCCAGAATGGCCGCCACTTTGGTTCTAAGGGGTCGGATACCTTGAGCATCGATAGTGTGTCCCAGAAAGTCTAACGAGTCGGTTCCAAATTGGCATTTCTGAACGTTTACAGTTATGCCATGTTTTTGTAATCGTTCGAAAACAAGGTCCAGATGCTTGAGATGTGTTTCTCTGTCCGGACTTGCGATTAGACAGTCGTCAACATACGCGTGTACGAAGTTGAGACCTCGAAAAACGTCGTCTATGAATCTTTGGAATGTTTGAGCAGCATTCCTTAGACCGAAAGGCATTCGCAAAAATTCATAGAGTCCGAAGGGAGTTATGATAGCTGTTTTCGGTATGTCGTCAGTAGCCATAGGGATTTGGTTATACGCTTTAACCAAGTCGATTTTCGAAAAGACAGTTGTACCTTTCAAGGTAGCTGTCAAATCGTGAATGTGAGGCAACGGGTAACGATCGGGAATGGTTTTCGCGTTCAATCGCCGATAGTCACCAGTTGGACGCCAATCGTTGCTGTCCTTTTTAGGGACCATGTGCAACGGAGATGCATATGGGCTACTTGACGGTCGTATGATTCCTAAGTCCATCATGTGATCGAATTCGTTTTTCGCTAACCTTAGCTTTTCAGGAGCTAGTCGTCGTGCTTTAGAGAATACAGGTGGTCCTGTAGTCGTGATGTGATGTGTAACATTGCTGGTTACACACGGTAGTTTCGGTTGCGTTTGTTGTATCCCAGGGTACTTATCGAGTAGTGGTTGATAGAGTGGGTCTATCATATGTTTAACTGTGACTGGGGATACTCTACAACCAGTAAAAGAAGTTACGCAAACGGACAAATTAGTGTTTCCGTCTACTAGCCTCCGTTTGCGAGTGTCGATGATCAGATTGTGGTGTTGTAGAAGGTCCATACCAATGATTGGCATAGAAACATCTGCAACGACGAAAATCCAGTGGATGGGTTTGCGTAAACCCACGTTAAGGTAAACGTACCTTTTGCCATACGTAGCGATCGGTTTTCCGTTTGCCGCCTGTAAGTTTAGGGTCGATTCGTGAAGTCGGTCGTTAGGATTTGCTGGGAGAACGCTAACTTCTGCGCCAGTGTCGACGAGGTAGCGAACTCTCGTTGTCACATCTGTGACGAATAACAGACGGCTTTGTTCGCCGGCTACGGTTGCCGTTAACGCGTGCCGGCTTGGAAGTTTCCCGAATTGTTTTTCGAGTCAGTCGGTTTCGTGTTGGGAAAATTGCAGGGTTTTCTGCAATTTCTGGAAAACTTTCCATACTGGTTATGATACCAGCACCAGTCGGGGTTATCTGTCTCTCGTGGTCTAGAGACAGATCGCTTACGAGAAATGCTTCTACGTGGTGTGCGCGATCTCTTACGGTCGGTACGAAGACTAAGATAACGCGTGAGTGTGTGACATAAGTCGGTTATGTCATTCTGAGTCGTGTGAGGCTTTTCTTTGACTGAAAATACCTCGGTAGTAGAAGGTTTCGTAATTTCTAGAATGCGGTCGGCAGATGCAGCTAGCTCGTCTAAGGCGTTGTTCTGGAACGAGACCAGAACTGCTTGCACCTGTTGGGGAAGTTTTGACAAGAAGAGTTGTTTGAATAGACCTTCGTCGAAAGTTCTTGGGCCTATAACCTCTCTCATCCGTTGCAACATGTCCGTCGCAGAACCGTGTTGCAGGTCGATGTTATTGAAGAGTTGATCTAACCTTTGTCGATCGGTTAGGTCTCCTCGTTTAAGAATCGAGCGTTTTAAGATTTCGTAAGGATCGGAAACATCACTAGTAAACATACTAGGTGTTACGTACCTGTTGAATTCCCGCGGTAGTGCCTTGACTACTGCGAGGAATTGTGCACGTGTGTCGATCACGCCGTGCTCGGAGAAGTCGGCTTCTGCGTAGCAAAACCAGGCTTCGATGTTGTCGGGCCAGAAAGGCATCAGTTGAAACGAAGGTGGGGACAAGGTCTTAAGCTTGAGTACTTTAGGTGTCTGTTCAGTCATGATGAAATATGAAGTACGATAATGAACGAGGGGAAAAAATATATATCCAAGAAAAAACACGAAAAAATCACAATGTTTAAAAAAATAAAAAATAAGGCAATGATATATAAAAATCCCAAAAAGGAACAGACTCACAGTTGCAATAAGGTGTACCAGATCACGACGGTCTCACCAATGATGATGTCACAGGTATTCAGTGTTTGACAACGCTTCTACCAGTAACACCTTCTAATATGATTTGTTCCCACCAAGAGAAATCAAAAGACAGAGTCGAGGAGATCGGAAGAGTGTATTTGGCGATGACCAAAATATCGGAATTCTCTGATCTAATCTGGCTAGCGATTGCGGTTGATGTTGAGCACGGCGTTACCACACGTGATCTGGTGCGGATGCCTGACCGAGCGCCTTCAGCTAGATGAGTCCACTAAAACATACGGTCAGCATCCAATGTCGAAAACTTACAGGGCTATTTATTTTGGGGAGTTATTTACCGCTACACCTGATTTTCTGTCATTGCGGAACAAAGACATCTCAGGTACTGCTAACTCGTGGTCCGAGAACTGAGATATCCAAGTTTCAGTTATTCCTATCAGATGAGCGTTATTAGTATTGCTAAGTTCACATAGCTCATCCATTTTGTTTGGTAGACTCGCGGCGTTCATGTATAAGCAGTTTATGCTTTCAATTTGAAACGCATAAGCTTCTTCCTGTTTGTCTGTATGTTCACTGATTTCTAAAAACGCGCATGCAACCTGACTGATTTCCACAATCTGGAGCTATTGGTACAGACAGTTTGGGCTTCTACTCTGTCTGCTGAAGATCATGTCTTTGTTTCAGTAAACCTGTAGATTGAATACGACCAGTTCGCGCCAAACCATCTTGTGGACGGGTGACATCCGGCGTACTTATTAGCCATAGTTTGCTGCGTGTTTCATTAGTGAACTCGAGTTAACTTGTTATTGTTTGGAAATATGGCATGTGCTACGCTTAAACGAACCCATAACTTTGACATCATGGAAGCGACTTGTTCCAAAAGAAGGCGATACCAAGCTTTAACTCGGAACTGCAACACGGAAGCAGCAGCGTCAGAATCCCCATTCATCCCGAAGGAGTTATCAACCCAAAGTACGTTCGCTAAATTCCAAATTTATTGTTCACATGTCAAGTGTTTGGGAGTCATATCTTAAACGATATCCAAACATCGTTATACTAATTGTGTGGATAAGTAAATTAAGCCAGTGCTTCCTAATCACACATAATTAAGCATATAAATCGAATTGGCCAGTGTCCGGTGTTTTATTTCTGCTATTGTTGAGTATCTTTCTATGCGGTATTAGTCATGAAACAAACTAATGCACAAAATGTCTGGTTCGGTGGAGTCGACTAGTTTTTGTGTAGTATGTACTTTGTGTACTCACACCACTTCTCAAGTGTCCGCCCCGGGTCGCTTTTTTATTTCAGTCGATGTGCAAATAAAGGTCATGACATTAGGTATGGTCTCATCATGGTAAGCTCTGTGAATAACTATTCACTTATTAACCCAGCTTTTGTTATCATAGGGCTTTTTATTTCCTTCATCATCTAGTGACAAGGGTCCTTGTTTACCTTGACTAGGGTTCAGGGTTTAGTGTGTGTCAAAAACTGGTTCAGGTTTCGCTTGCGATTACCTACCCGATTAGAGAAAAATAGAAGGGTAGCACTACTCAGTAGGTTAACTTAGGAGAATTGACTTCTGTTCCATGAGTTGAGTGACATCCTGGCTTATGACTAAGAGCTGGATGTCAATCACCATAGTTCATAAAAAAGACATACTAACTACATGTATTTATTTGACTAAGGTTTTCAAGCCTTTTGTGTTCACAAACTATTGTTCTGGTCATGGATGTGTTAATTATATCTTTACCCTTCGACAAGTTCGGGACACCGACTCCAGATTGTAGTTTTTCTTGGTCAAATAGCCTCGTCGAACTCCATCAGTCGAGGGGATTTTCGGCAGTTTTCATCATTGAAGGGTGTTCTAGTCAAGTCCATGAACCTAAAGATTTATTCGAACACCAGTGCTCAGATTAAGGCATACTGAGGACTCGTCAGTATCGTCAGCTTCAAATGATATTTGTCAGTATTGCATGTCGGATACATTATTTTATTTCTCCCTTGTTGTCTTCCAGAAAACTCAGACTGGTTGTAACTGATCTATCAGCAAATACTTGTGCGTGTTAACTCTTACACTAATTTCTGTCTCTGATGTTCGATTCTGTAGCTCAATTGAAACGGCGCATCAAGGAGGAAATCAAACGTCTACAACGACGTCGTTTGATACCACGATTTCTTGGAGGTCCCACCCCGGCAATCACTGCGACATTCGCCGGTCATGCAAAAGATGAAAACGTGGGTGAGTTGTTACTCTTATCTATGGGATCAGTTCAGTCCATGTGTATAAAATTGTAGTCATCTAATTACTGACAGCAAGGTCTTTTTGTTCTAATACAAATAATTACGAATACTAGGTTTAGTCGTTCTCTGTATTACTACAGATTGTTCATAATCCAGTTAGTATTTTACTCTAATGGGATGTAACTAGCTATTTCACAGTGTTTACAAAATTAAGAGGATGGAAAGCGGATGCCCAACCACTTAACGGGGTTGTTAGTTAGAGAAGATCCACCTTGGGGAGTTGAAAAACCTTGGTTCCAAACCAATGTTGCACATGGGCTCCAGTATCCTGAAGGAACAAATGGCGTATAAACCAATTATTGGTCACCGGTTACTATGGTACTGCGTCTCCTAACGTCGCTCTACTGTTTTGTGGATCAGGTTCAAGGCTCGGGGTGTAACCCCCTAAGAAAAACACCTGCTTCGGTTCGAGTGTCCAGGTAGTATCCCAGTCCTCACAAAAATCGAGTGATTTGTGTGGCGCATATGTATTTGGTGCCGCCTTATACCAATGTTGATGTTTAAATAAATGTTTTTGAGATTGTGATTCGTAGCTCAGGTGGATGATTTTGATGGAGTTTTGTTCTCTGAGCTGGATGATCTGGTCGACCAGCTCATAGAACAAACATAAATATTTCACGGTCAGTACAAGTTTAGAACTTGGCCTATTTACTTAGTTTCAGTCTCTAAATTTTCTCTTATAACCTACAAATTAGTCAATGGCTTGTTTGTTGCTTATTAAAACCGGTCCCAAATTTAGTAAATATCATGATCGTAATTTGAGATTTATCCAACCGATTCAAGATACTTCTATGGAAATCTTGAAGCATCCATTTGTCTCATGATTTTTTACTCAGCAGTAAACATTCTTTTACGAACAATTGCTAACCATTTACTCTAAAAAGTATACTTACATAACTAAGAAGCTAAATGTTATGGACAATTGGTTGATTTGCTTCACGTTTGTACGGCAGTCATTTCGATAAAGAAGTTATAGATCCTACTAATTATTTAGGAAATGTCTTAAGAAGTTGGTTTGTAGATATGGTTACAACGAAAATAAATGTATGCAAGATCATTTCAAAAAGTTTCGTTTTACTGTGTTATACTCTGTCCGATGTTGTAAAACTGCTTAAAAATTTGTGACATTTGTATCTGTTACCTTAGTAATATTTTGAGGATAGTCATTTTATGTTTGAAGGTTTTGGATGTCGCAGTTATTACCTGATTAAGTTGAGCAATCCTTTTCACTTCTAAAACAATAAAATGGGACTTGTACGTGGCATGCCAAGATATAACTAGTTTTCTATCTTATGAACGAAGTTCTTTCTTATTTCATATATTTTCTTGCATCAGTTGCTTCGTGCAGTGGTAGTTTTCGATCCATGGCATTGCGGTCACCTACTTCAGATAGCCAAGACTCGGATAGTGATCAGTCACCTTTGCGTACCAGTGAACCGATATTCCAAACACTTGAGAATGTCTCAGTTGTCTCCTCACAATCTTCTTTGAAACCTACACGTACCATCGATTCAATGCCGATCTTCACCTTACCCCAGGTTACGGCTCTTTGTGAGCGCTTAATCAAAGAACGAGAAGCAGAGTTACGAGAAGAGTATGACAGTATATTATCTTGTAAATTAGCAGGTTAGTTCACAATTTGATGGTTAGTGTATACTAGTCTTGAATATTAAATCTGTTTTCCAAATTTTCTATCCGAGCAGGCTTAATGTAGGCAAAGTAACAGTTGGTTTTAAATGTTTTTCCTACAAAGGGACTGTGTATGTAGGAATCTAAATATTTCATAATCCAGGAACTTCAGTACCAAACATTAACACTGAGTGTCTAGTTAACTACAGCAACGTTTTGAACTCATCTGTCGTAAAGTAGAATTTCATTATTTGCAATGAAGAACGTATACGGTCTAGTAAATGGTTTAGTAAACAGAATGCTCATCAGTGGATGAACGTAGTGGTAAGATGTAAGTGGGTGATTGGTGCTCATAAGACTGGATTATCGATTCAGATTTACCAATGAACTGATGTTAATGGTCATTAGTCAGAAGAAAAAGTTATTTTTTAAATGAATTATTGACAAAAAAATGAACAGGATTAAATGTCATGGGAAATCTGTATTGTAGGTCATTTACTCCATAACAGTTGGGTCTAAGCCCTTCTCACTGTGTGACCATCAGTTCAATCATCTGGTACCTTCAGTATTAGATTTCTGGTTACAGTCGTAGTTAATTCAGGAATATTATTTGTTAATGAGCCACATGTTATTTATGTCCATAACTAATCAGATCGTCCTTTAAGCGCCCAACACGTCAATCTGGTCTGCTGTGTCTGATGACTATTTCTATTGCATATGACCTGCCAATTGAAGAACATTATCCCATTATATTAGTGTGACTCACAATTTTTATTCATTTCATTAAGACACGCAATACTGGTTGGTATGTTCGTGCGTCTCACTCAATGATTATAATTTCTTTAGTTATTGTACGAATCAAACTGTTACTTTTACGTTTAGAAACAGACAAAGTTTATCAAGCCAACTAGCCTACTTGTTCTGACTTGGCTAAGCTAAGACTGTATTATTATTATTATTATTTGAACACATAAATATTGGTACAAGAGAGCGCCAATATATATGCGCCACACAAAACAATGGGAATTCGAAGAGAAGAAGAAAAAAAAAAAAACTAAGGAACGCAAAAGAAAAAGAGAGTAATGACGATAAGGTACAATCAGAAGAAATCTTTCAGGTAAAGGAGACACAACCACTTTTTATGAAGAAAGTAAAAGAAGGTTACAGCAGGATCGCCACTGGCTTCTATTCTGAGCCATATCTGATAACGTCTCTAGCCACTGTGTAGCACCATCTCTCGGACCCCAACCAGGGAGTCGTGAAGGACCAACACAAGCCAGTCCTTTGCAGCTTTCTTTCATGCCACGACACCATGTCATGCACTGACCACCTCTCCGCTTCTTCCAACCAGTCCCAGAGTCGGCAAATAATGCACGACGTGGAATTCTCTGGGACGACATTCGGAGAACATGTCCAAGCCACCGAAGTCGGTGTTTCAAGATGGTGACACCAATTGAGTTATCATCTCTGTGCCCGAACACACGATGCCGAACCTCTGCATTACTGACATGGTGTTGCCACTGAATGTCAGCAATCCTTCGGAGACAGCGATGATCGAACACAGAGAGTCGTCTAACGTCCTCAACTCGGAGAGGCCAGGTTTCACAAGCATAGAGCAAAACTGCTCTCACCGACGCGTTGTAGATCCGACCTTTTACAGCCAGACTAACATCACGAAGGCGCCAAAGGTGGCCCAGATTGGCATAAGCCGCTCTGGCTTTCACTATTCGTGCATTGATCTCATCACTCACACCCCCACCAGCACTTATGCAGCTACCCAGATACACGAACTTCTCAACTACGTCTATCTGCTCACCGTCCAGGGTGAGTACAGGATTAGAATCCTGCCAGTCTTGTAGAAGTACTTTGCACTTCGAAGGTGCAAAGCACATACCATACCTACGGACACTGATTGCCAACTGATTAAGTGCGGATTGCATGCCTTGGGCATTATCGCACAGTAAGACAATATCGTCCGCATACTCAAGGTCGAGAAGTCTTTCTCCAGGCAACAGATCCACACCACCATTACTTACATTCATCAGAGCTGTTTCCAGAATGTCATCGATGGCAAAGTTGAAGAGGAATGGTGAGATTGGGCAACCCTGCCTAACCCCACTGCTCGAATGGAACAATGGAGAGAGGTGGTTGTATGCCCTCACTCTGCCTGAGGTGTTTTTATACAGGGCTTTTAGGATGTTAATAAACTTCTCAGGCACACCCTTCTTCAATAGACAATCCCAGAGAACAGTCCTATCCAACGAATCGAAGGCAGCCCTGATGTCAAGAAACACTACGATTGTTGGCCTTTGAAAAGTATGGCGGTGTTCTAACATTTGGCGGAGGGTGAAGATATGATCAATACATCCTCGACCAGAACGAAACCCAGCCTGCTCCTCGCGAGTCAATCTTTCTCGGGTTTTGAACAACCTACGAAGAATGACGGAAGCCAATAGCTTGGACGCAATCGGAAGTAAACTTATCCCCCGATAGTTGTTACAAGAACGACGTGAACCCTTTTTAAAGATAGGGACAACTATCGACTCATTCCATGACGTTGGTACACTCTCTAGTTCCCAAACCTTTGTAAACAACGTCGTCAATTCCTTAGTCAAAAAGTCACCACCATCTTTAAAAAGAGCCGGAGGTAAGTCATCTGGGCCAGGTGATTTGTAACGCTTCAAGAGTTGGAGTTCCTTGCGGACTTCCTCCTCGTTTGGTGGATCAGTCGTCACCGGCCATGGAGGGCAGGACAGTCTGACCGATGTTGCCGGAGCAGCAGGCCAGTTGAACTGCCCTTCGAAAAATTCTGCCCATCGTCCAAGACGTCGATGGATGTTAGTGATTGGCATCCCATCATCCTCGCAGATTGTTTCACTCACACCAGACTTCTTGCTGCCAGTGGCTCGGATGAGTTGGAAGAGCTTCCGGTAGTTACCAGATGCAGCTGCTGCTTCCAGCTCATTAGCACGCATCGACCACCAGGCTTCTCGGTCCTTACGCAAGCTTTGCCCAATTTCCTTACGTAACATCCTTCGTTTATGGTCAAACTCACGGTCACCCGGAGTAGACCGACGGGCTTCAATGAGTTGTAAGGAACCAGAAGAAACCCAGTGCTTAAAAGCGGGACGTTTCGCAAACCCACAACTGACTGTTCCCGCCATTTTCATGGCGTCATGCAATTGCAACCAATGCTCATCTATACTTTTCGGTGGAGTGGTAGCTAGCCTAGAGGCTAGCTCGGTTCGATACTTACTTGCAACAGAAGTTGCAACCAGCTTGCTAACATCAATCCGTTGATGGCGTTCACTTCGTTGTCCACTGAAAAGTAAGGCAAGATTGGCGCAGACCAAGGCATGGTCAGAGTCCAGATAGGTACTCCAAAAGGAGCGGCAGTCTTGTACACAACCACGCCAGCGGTAGCTGATCGCGATGTGATCAATCTGAGTCCAGGCTTGAGATGCAGAGGGAGGACGCCAGGTGGCACATCGGCGATGACTGTGCCGAAAGTTAGTGCTAGCCAGAAACAGGTTGTGGTCTGTGCAAAGTTGCAGTAGACGGTCCCCGTTATCTGACCTGCGACCAACGAGTCCCCATCGGCCACCTAAACGACTCTCTTCTGTGCCTAGACGCCCGACCTGAGCATTCAAGTCTCCGGCTAGTACTACAATATCTGTCGAACGCACTTTCTGGAGAAGAACTGATAACTGGTGGTAAAACTCATCCTTGATTGCATCCGGGCTGCAATCTGTCGGGGCATAGGCGGAGATGACGAAAAGACATCGTTTCTCACGCCGATTTCTTCTCACTTTGATGGAACTTTCTAATCTAACAGCACATAACCGACTGTTAATGGGGATCCAATCGACTAGTGCTGCCTCAGCTCTAGCGCTTAGTGCGACACCAACGCCAGCAAGACCAGACGAAGATGCCACAGGGTCCCCGGATAAGCGCACGTAAAACAAGCTTTTCGAAGCGACAGATGGAGATCGAATTTGTAGTACTTCGCCAGAGTCTTGAATACGGGTCTCGGATAGACAACACACGTCGATATTAAGACTTTCCAAAGACATAGCCAGCCCTATCTGTTGTCCGACCTGCATAAATGTGCGAACGTTGAAGGCAGCCAGTTTGAATGGTGCACGTGGTTTCAGAAAATCTGCTTCAGTCCTCGTATTCGGTGGTAACATACAATTTTCAACCGGACAGTGACTCGAGAACGTTTAGATACAGTCGGAATTCCACCAAAGACGAGCCGCTGTATAAGTATAAAAGAGGGTGAATAATGTGGAAAATAATAATAATAATGATAATAATAACAATAATGACAATAATAGTAGTAATAATAATATTAGTATTAATAATGACAATAATTGTAATGATAATAATCTGAATCAATTGTTTGTTTTTCAAAGCGACAAAAGTAATTTCCATAGACATAAAGAGTTCATCATTTGTGTGTGGGCTGTGATACTGCCCGGGTGCCCAAACCGAAGCAGGTGGTTATCTTAGGGGGCCACTCCCCGAGCCTTTGACCTAAAGGTCTAACCCACAAGGCAGTGGAGCATCGTAAGGAGATGCAGTCCCATGGTAGCCGGTGACCAACGATTGGTTCATACGCCATTCGTTCCCGCAGGATACTGGAGCCCATGTGCACCATTGGTTTGGAATCCGGTTAAAGCGCCGGACATTCGCTTTTCGTCCTCTCATTTTCGTAAACAACACCCCCGCCACGAGAAGGCAATGAGTAGGACTTCCCTGGCAGAGGCTGTATACGCGTGGCCGTGTGAGAGTATTTCGAGAGGGAGAGCGGACTCTCCCCACTCTCGGCCGTACCAGGGCATTCAGGGGGCTAAGACTGTGCTCGACAGTCTAGGGAATAGTTAAGAATTACGTATGTAGGCAATTACGTTCTACACCAGATAGTGTAATACTTTCGATTGCTTGTAACCACAGACTATCAGCTTGTTCAAATCTGTTTATATTCTGTTGAGAATGTATAACTTTCAAAGAACAGTATTCTATTCAAAAATTTTCAAATTTTAGCGTAGTTGAAACAGACTGTCAAGTCTCAGACCATCGTGTGGATTATCGTCGTATCATTACTAGTCTTGAATGCAACATTATCATTCGTCTGAAAAGTGTAGTGACTTACACTTTCAATACATTTGTACAACAAACCAGTTATTCACAACTCTAGTCTCAATATGACGAGCGAGGCTGCTTGATTTATTAACACTTAAGCTAGTCGGCTTATATACCGATTATTTATTACAAACTTTGTCAGAGTGATCAATCATCATTGTTAATTTATGAATACAATAAGGTGTTTTAAAATCAAATAGCTAATTTTATATTGAATAGACTGACACAAACAGGAATTCACTAAAAGTTAGTGGACGAGAATCAGTCTGAATTAATTAACGTGAAAAGTTAAGTTGGTAGACGGAATTCATTTCAAATAAGAACGTTATTTTTAAAACTGAATGTCATATTTCGGGATTCAACATGAACAACAACTTCACATGGAGACTAATTTGACTAACTAGACCGAAAAATACATTCAGACGGATCCGGATTGCCTAATACAATCGATTTGTGCTACAATAACAGTGATATTAGTTCAACCCAGTCTGTTCTACTGAAATGAAATTTTGGTACTTGATGTCAACACTATTCTGCCAGTCAACTATTAAACTACATTACCTGAAGACGTATTTTGCGTAGGCGGTTCTCCACAAAAGTATATATTTCGTTCGCGATACATACAACAACAACCAGACGTAGGTAAAAAGAGAACCAACATCCTTAGAGAGGCAAAAGTAAGATTCTCAAAGTAACTGGTTCAACATGGTCAAAACAAAACATAATTTTTTCAAACCTCTTTCAATTGAATCTTCATTTACATTTCAGAACAATATGAAGCATTTCTGAAGTTCAATCACGATCAACTCTACAGTCGATTTCAGAACTCCCCAATGAGTTGTAAGTTTTCCATCGTATTTGTTCAGGATGATTGCGTTCTTTTTAGCTGGCTATGAACTAGTTCTCGTTTGAACATTGCCGTATTTCCCATTCTAAGTCAAATGATATTTTCCCATATATTGTCCTGAACTCTATGTCTAGGTTCAGTTTATTAGGCAAAGTAATTGTTTATCGAATTTGGCTTTTTAAATGCTTTGATGTTATAATGTATTTAAGAAATAATCCAAGCAAAGAATCACGCAGAAAATTTGTTTGCTGGGTTCATGAATGAATAGGTTTGAGATTTCACTAAAGCAACTACAACCATGTCCTTCATTAGATTCATTGGTGATAACGTTTAAATATTTATCGTCACTCAGAAGCCCACACTTTTGTTTGGTTTCTATTGATCATCGACTTAAACACCACCAAAACTTCTATATCATATTTTCTATCCATTCGATTATCTTTTACAAACAAAGGTGTTCATAGTGTCATTAGTAGTTTTGAAATTCAGTCATCAAAGTGGTTATTTATAGACTTTCACAAATTCTACTCGTTTTTGGTAAAAAAAAAAAAGATATGGTTAATAAATTGAGTTACGGAAAATTGTTGGAACCAATCGTTTTACAAAGATATCCAACAGGATCGTTAAGTTTACTTTCATATAAAGATAATACTCATAATCTTGGTGTAGGTCGTTGCTGGATTCTTCATCGGTAAAAACGGAGTTAAATTTAATTTGACTAAACATCCATTCAAACAAAATGTTTTATTCCTTTATGACCCCTTTTTACGCCAAGATTTTCCCGAGACTGAGCATTCTTTCTGTCGTAAAATGCAACCGTTATCATAAGTAGGGACCCAACTCGCAGATAATAATTTAAAAGGTAATGTGTAGTAACACACATAGCACCAGTTAATATTTTCAAAACATTTAATTTTTCTTGATTTTATTTCCAGATGTGTCCTGAGAAATTTCACGTAAACAGCACGATAGAATTTTCTATCCCCCAAAACTATCTACTGCCTTCCATCTGGTACTGCATTATTGTTGGACTGCTTGAGTTATTCTGAAGATCAACTTTAACCTTGTGTTCTTGTTTCTCACGTGCAACCTCAACTGCCTTTTCCCGATCTCTAAGCGTTTGCCAACCACATTGTTTCTTGTGTTTCAAAAATTTATCATAATTGTACTCGTATAGCTAGTACGCGCCATACGTTGCATGTAATGGGAATTGTCAGATCAATGCTCAACTATTTTCTGTATCTCTTACCATATATTCTCTGTGATGAATAATTTTGAAGGCCTGTTAACATCCTTAGAAGTTTTACGCCTTTTAAATTAAGTAAACCTGGTAAATAAATGTGATCGTTCTCAGTTATTTTTTTGCTAGATTAGAATAAGAGAGTTATGGTTCTCAATCCCTTGAGTTTATAAAAGATAGTAGTTTAATATGTGCTTTGAAATCTTACTAATATTATCATCGTCAATATTATGTGTAATTAATCATATTTTTACAAAGGATATAATATTTGCCTCCTACTTCAGTTTCTGGTACGCTTGTAATTGTAGCAGAACTGGGTCACTAAACACGTTTTGCCACAAAAATCTAAGAGTAGTAAAAGTACAGTGGATATTTTCTTTATCTGGCTGATAAGAATTAAGCATCCGGAAAAACGTACTAATGTAAAATAGTGAGAACCAGTGGCCTAGACATTTCGGATGCGATATCTACCGCATGCAGTGAAAGACGATCGCGATGTTGAGCTTAGATATGTACATAATTGGTAGCAAGACTCCACGGTCTAGATGTCAAGAGTTGGCATATGGGACAGAAAACCTTGCAATGAAAACGTGCATGTGGACGGTTGAAGATCTCCCATCGGGATGGAGCTCGTCACTATAATTCAACTCCCTCGACTGAGGAGGCGTCTGACGGCGAGGATAGGAGAACCTTCTTGGACACTGATGATAGAAGATCGTCAACATCATACAGGATTCATGCTACAGAACACGCTGCAGAGTCGTGCATAGAGGACAGATGACAGGTTCAAAGTGAGTAGCGTAGTCAGATAAAACTGCTTACTGTCACTCTTCTAGCGGTTGACTGGATTATGAAGACTGATATCTGAGGGGAAGCACGGAATACAATCGACAACTAGACGATTTGAGCTTCTCAGACCATCTAGCACTTCTATTCCATACACACGAACAATTAAGGGTCGAGATAACCAGTTTAGCAGCAGTAAAGGGAAATAACAAGGCCCTCATATACAACATGGAGAACGCCAACCCTTTCAAGTTTGGTGGCGAAACTCTGGAAGGTGTGGGGACTTTCACGTACCTGAACAGCAGTACCGTCGACGAACAAGGAGGATCTGATGCAGTGACGTAAGGGTGAGAATTGGTAAAGCAATAGCGGTATTCCTACAGTTGAACAAAATATGCAACTCGAAACAACTGTCAACTAATATCCAAGTCGAAATCTTCAGTGCGGACGTCAAGACAGTTGTATGGTACGAAGCTGGAAATTGGAGAACTACAACTATCATCAAAATAGTACAACTATTTCTAAAGAATTGTCCACGTAAGATACTGAATGTCTGTCGACCGGATACCGTCAGCAAGAGCTCACTTTGGGAGAAAGCAAACCAGTTGAAGAGGAAATTAGAAAAAGACGTTGGACGTGGATAGGAAATGTATTGCTGAAGTCAAACTGCATCACAAGGTAAGTGCTAACTTGGAATCCTGAAGAGAAACGGAACAGTGCAAGGCCAAAGAACACTGCGGCGAGAATTACAAGCAAGCACGGAAAGGATTGCCCAGGACAGTTTGATGGAGAATGCTGGTGGGCTGCCTATGTTTCTCCACGGTCGGTTACAGTTGTAAGTAAGGAATGCCTCCTGGTTCTTGGTGGCAACCAAGCTAAGACTAACTCCTAAGTTCAAATAGCAATTTTCACTTTTACGACACAAAATAATACGACAGTCGCTGTGCCACTGAGTCTTGTTCCTTTGCCTGTAATATCGAACAACAGATCTCAGCTAGTCGCAACTACTCTTCATGTTCACGATACACTTGGAAAAATCAAATTTAAATGTTTGATAAACAAAGCTAAGACGTTAATATTCAATCACAACAATGGATTTTCAAATATTCACGATCACACAACCTGCATGTGCATAGGATAGAGGTTCAGGTCAGCTTTCAGTAAATGCACATGTCTGAACAACTTTACACGATTCTTAGTGTTTATTTATTTAATCACATAAACATTGGTACAAGGGGGCACCAAATAGATATGCCTCATAAATCATTCGGTTTGTGTGAGGGCTAGGATACTGTCCGGGTGCCCAGACCGAAGCAGGTGGTTATCTTGGGTGGCCGAGCCTTGGACCTAAAGGTCTAACCCACAAGGCGATGGAACATCATGAGATGCTAGACGGTGACCAACGATTGGTTTATACGCCATTTAATCCCTGGAGCCCATGTGCACCATTTGTTTGGGATTCGGTTGAAGCACCGGACATTCGCTTTTCGTCCCCTCAATTTTGTAAACAACACCCCCGCCGCGAGAAGGCAGTGAGTAGGACTTCCCAGGCAGAGGTTGTACACGCGTGCCCATGTGAGAGCATTTCGAACGGGAGGGCGGCCCCACCCCATTCTCGGCCATACCAGGACATTTGGGGGCCTGTTTTATTGTTATAGTCACGAACGTTTTGCGACTTATGAAAGATTAAATACGACAATGAACTAGAACACACAAATTAGTATGTACTTACTGTAAGTACTCACGCCGTTTTAAGTAAATTGGTGCTCTACATGTTAAAACTTCAATTAGGCGAAAACGGATGAAAGCACTTGGGTTAAAGCTTCATTCAGAACTCAATAGTAGGATGTATTTTAGCATCTAAAGTGTGTGCTTCATTTTACTAACTTAGTGTTGAACATGCTAAATCTTCAAACACTAATTTCTTTCGAATATTATCTCAAGACTAACTTGATGCGAAGTGAAATCTGGTTTCTACTAATCTATTCGACATAAAATTAGTCACTTGATTTAAAATACCCTAATGTATTCGTAAATTCACCATGACGATTGATCAGTCTGATATAATTTGTAATGAACAGTCGGTATATAAATGAACTGATGTGAGCTCAAACAATTCCTCTGATGGTCCTTACCAATACATTGTCCCTATAAGACTTCTTTTTACTCTTTGATTTAGCAGAGAAGTGTTGTGTCAGTCGTCTGGTTTATTCAATTCACATGGATCCCATTCGCACAAAGAATCTCCTAGTCGTTCAGAATTTAAAATACAAAACCTTAACTCAAGCCACAACGGTGAGCAAAATAACCAAGGCAACTTAAAAAGTTTTATGGTAGAAACTGGATTGATAAAAAAAATGTCAAAACTATGCACAAGGTGAGCATGGAATATAAGAGAAATGTATGGTTTAAATCCGATTTTATGTAAAGTAATTTCAACATACGTTCCTACACAAAATCCCAATCATTAATATGAAACTGGAGATCATTGTCATTTTCGGTGTTTGTAGTACCTGGAATGGATTTCCTTGACCAACTTATTTTAACTGCAACATCAATCCACTGACCCAATAATCGACGACATTGTTCAAGAACTATTTTATCTGGTGATATACCAATATTCTGTAATTCTTTCATCTCGAATATTAGTCCCGTCCACCATGCATCATTATTGATACATGGTCTAAGATCATCATCAACTAAACTATTAATTAAGCCAATGGCATTATGACCGGTGACAGTTAAAATTAAGTTACCGGATGGATCTTCTAAATGAAGGAAGAATAAAGGAAGAATAGATAAGCTTCGGTATAAAATAAGAATACAGACGCGTTAACTTACCAAGAACCACACTCGCAAAGTGCTCTGAAAAAGATTTTTAAACAAGGAAAGATAATAAATATCTGGGCATTGAAAATCAAAATAGGACATCTACGTACGAGTGCAAAACATTTTCGCCGTAGATTGTAAGTGTATGGAAGCAAATCATCTGACCAGACAAGACAAAGTGAATTAGTTGGTATACAGTTACAATGACCTAGGATGGATTTTAGAAAGTATTTAAAAGACAGATTAGATAAGTCAAAGTAAAGCCTGGCACGGATGCGTTGCCATAATATCAGCACGACGAGATGGAATGAACAGGATAATAGCATAAGAGATCGGAATAGTGTAGCAGCAATGACAATAAGACTGAAAAAGATGTAGCGGAAAGGTATGTATGATGGGATACTAGAATTCAACATCGAGAGGAAGACAAAGAGTGAGTACATCTGTGCCACTGTCAACGATTCTGATCCATGCCACCCAAAGTCTCCAACCACTGGTTGCGTTAATCTCGCGGACCCGACCACGTAGTCTAGATTTATCAGCATGACTCAGATCAAGTTAATTACTTCATGGACTGATGCCGTTTCTTTTTAGCCCCCTAACTTATAAACAAATCCTACATCAGATAACAATGTCCATCGAGGTAGTTGGTGACAATGTACATGTAACATGTCCTAACCATCTCAGCTGACGAAAGTTCATAACCTCCAACGCGATTTACCAACGTCATCTAGTACCATATGCTTAACTTCACTAATGATAAACCAACCGTCCTACGAAATGCTAGCAATGCTCCGGAGACACCTACTCATGTCTTTTACTTTTAAGAATAAGTAGTTATAGGAAAAGTAATATAAAACCTCAGTTTTCGTTAATTAGTTAGCATGGGAGAATTGCCATGTTCTGTGAAAATTAAGATACTGTCCTATCCATGTTGGTTTTCTATATATAGCACGTTTGTTGGAACCATCATCTCTCCTACTAATCAGGATGTCAAGAAAAGGAAGTTGGTTGTTCTTCTTCTCTTCTTCACATGTAAGAGAAATGTGCTTTTGACTACTATTAAATTCTTCTAACAAGCGGTTTATGTCTTCACTTTTATCCCCTATGATTATTATGTCATCTACATATCGTTTATACAGACCCATCTTTCGAATTGAGTCTTCAACTAAATTTTCCACGTATCCCATGAACACATCAGCCAGCAATGGTCCTAGAGGGCTACACATAACTACACCATCTATTTGTCTGAAGTGTTCACCTTCAAATGTGAATTTTACATTAACTGTACACAATAATAATGAATCTTCAAGAATTAGTTAAATATTGCTAAAAGCCACTTTAGTAGTTACTTATGGTATTGGAATAAGTAAATTCAAATTAAAGTAACTAACAAGTGATAGGGTTTCCGTTTTTTACACTAAGAATAAACTTGTGTTGTCATATAATTATCTCACTCGAATGATTGATACGAGAAAAATCGAAAATAGAAAACTT